CAGCTCTAAGTAGCCACACACGCTTTGGCCAACAGCCCAAGGCCCAGCTCCCCAGGCCACCACCCAGCCACCTTACCCCGGCCGGAAACTCCTCTCTTGTCCTCCTCCAAAGAGCATGGGGTACAGCGGGGTGGTGGTGCCGGGGCCACGCACGTAGAGTGCGCCGATCCGTGGGCCGTAGAACTGCAGGGAAAAACAGCTACAGTGACCCTGGGGACACTGCTGGGTGTCCCTTCCCTGTATTTCTGCCCAAATCCAAGTGCCCTCCAGTGCTGACCCCCGCCTGTCTCACAAGGCACAGGCTGTTGCAGAGCTGTCCCCAGTCCTTGGCTTCCTTCAGCTCCCCCTTCCAGACAGGTCCCCCTGACTCACAGGGGCCTTGTCATCCAGCTAAAGATGCACCATCCAGCAGGAAAACTTTGGCCCCTGATATATCAAGATGTGAGGGGCATCCAAAGTCTCCCGGCTCCCCAGCAGAGATGTCTTAGTGGGAAAGCAGCGGCTGGGCCACGTGAACAGGGCCATACCTTGTGTCCCACGATGGTGAGGTAGTCCACCCTCAGCTCCTGCACATCCACGCGCCCCTTGCCAATCATCTGCGCCGCATCCGTGTGCACCAGGATCCTGGGCAGCCCCTCCACCACTCTCTGCTGATTGAGGGCATGGATGCGCTGGCTCAGTTCCGTTACAGGCTGGTGGGGAAGAAGAGGGTCTGCATCCCAGGGATCACTTGTTCCCCCTTATAAAGCACCTTTTTGCAAGGATGTTCCCATGTCTTGTCCCCACCAGTCACACAGACTCACCATGATGACCCCAGTCTCGTTATTGGCCATCATGACAGAAACCAGGCAAGTGGTTGGCCGGATGGCGCCGAGAATGTCATCCACCTCAGCCCGCCCGGTTTGCGGAGACACAGCCACAAAGGTGGCTTCTGGAAGCCAAGAAACAAGCCCTGCGGTTTGCTGAGAAGCTCAGCAGCACCCAGGGCTGCCCGCACGCCCCTGAGGGGGCAGAACTCTGCGGGCAGCTGGCACGCAGGCAGAGAGCATAGTGGCTCGTAGGGCCAACGTTGGATGCCAACAGGGTAACACACCCAGCTTGAGGGATTTGGGGCACCATGTGGGGAGTCAGCGCTCTTTGCAGGGGAAAAAGGCAACATTACGGAGCAAGCGGGTCCCTGTCCTCCTCCACAAAAATGCCAGCGGAGAAACGCCTCTCTCACCACCTCCGTCTGTGGCCAGACGGCCCCAACTTGTCCCCTGCAGTCCCTCTGCTGCTCACCTGCCAGGCTCTCCTTCACCAGCTGCTCCAGCGGCAGGCGGACTGAGTCGTGCTCCACACTCGACGTTACGATGTGTGGCGTCCCCCTGCTGACCCCTAGCCTGGCCTGGCTTTCGCGGAAGTGCCTGTAGGCAGTGTGGATCACCATGTTGTTTGCCTGAAGAGAGGAAGGCAGAGGGGAAAAGGAAGGCTCAGAGGGAGTGTGGTGCCCTTCATCCCCACCTTCCTCATCACCGCTTGCTTAAGAGGAGGTGGTGGGCCGGG